CCCCAAAACCCCAAAACCCCAAAACCCCAAAACCCCATTAGATAATAATAAATTGATTATTTTAAACTTACTTGCAATAGGAAATATTAAATGCAATGTTTACTTTCGTAATCAAATTTGTATATATTTATACTGAAGATACAATTGACAATAAATCATCATCTTATCTCGATTTTAATTTCTCTCACTCATAGCCACTCTTAATTTGCTTATGTCTTACTGGTGTGGTTTAATACATTTCTTATGCTGATTATAATTGCTAATGTGAGGTTTGTTGAGATGGAAGGCTTGAGCATGTTTCATATAATCTTAATCCATATTCGCTATGCTTTGGAACATAGTCTCTGTTAGAAGTTGCTCTCATTGTCATTTATCTTTCAATCTATTAAGCAGAGGCCAAAGTATTTGCAGTAATCGTATTGGTTTTTGGAAGTGAGCTCTAGTCTCTTGATTGCCTTTGAGGTGAGTTGTTAAATGTCTCAAGCTTTTACTTCAGTTCTAGGAATTTTTGATTGAATACATTCTTTTCTCTTCTAAAACTTTCAATTATTGAGTTTAGGTTCTCATTTTTGTTTAACTAGCTTTTATTGACTAAGGTGGAGTGGAGAGAAGTAGTACTAGGTGAAAGTACGAATTCCTTCTATTGAACTGGCTGCAAATGACTAGTTAACGAGACTTGTGGAGAATTAATTGGTTTTATTTATAATGGCATGTCATATTGCTGCTGACTCTGAAGATGTAATGGTTTCCTCTTATTTATCGCATTATTGTATAAATATGAGGGTTACATCTCTTTTACTTAATTTGATGTAGGCAGCTGTTTTATTGGGAATATGATGCTTTGATGATTAGAATTATTCCTCAAGAAAGATCCTTAAAGAGCCTATTATGATTTCATTGAAATATTCTACTGTGAAATTAATTAGTGGTTTTACTAGGAATTAGTCATGCTTTGCTGATTATGCTGACTTGAAAAGGAGTTCAAATTTTGAGATTAAAGGACCCTTCGCTGATCTCTGGCCATTCTTAAATGATCCACTGAAATAATTCTGTTTTCTTTTTAATCCATATGCTAATCCATTGAAGTGCCTTCAATATCATTTATAGTTTTATTCTTTTTTATAGGGGAAATGTTAGATTTAATAAAGTCTTCTGGCTAGTCGCTCTGATTACCTTGAATTTGAGAATTTTAAGTCATTGGATTTGTAACTTGATTTAACTCAATTATCTTAGTCATTTACAACGGATCCTAAACCCCAAATAAACTAGTTTTGAGAAGGGAATCCTTTGAATTATTATTAGTTGCCATCAATTAGAAATACTACTCTCTAGAATTAGAACTATTTTAGTTTATAAGCATCGGTTCCTCTTTAGAACAATTAACTTTTTAAGGCTTTAGGCATGAATATCTGCGATGAAGTTGGTGACTTGTAACTATTTTCTAATCTTGAGGACCATTAGAATCATAATCACTATTAGTTGTGCCAGGATAATGAGAAGCTTCTATAGTTTCCTAGGAAGGTCTTGCTTATAATGATGTGACTCTTCTCCCATGTACTTAATTGTTTTAGGCATTTGATTATGCGATTCTCATTGCCAAATGATCAATCAAATCTTCTATTGTTAATTATTTTGTTTATTCAACTGAACCTTCATATAGAGGGATTAGTTTTGTCTTGAGAATCTTTTATTTAGCCTCAGTCAATTATTTTTCTCTCTTCAAATCTTCTTCATATCGCTCCCTATCATCATTGTAAGTCTATCTTTCCTCTTCAATAAGATTCTTAAGTTCTTGGCATGATTATTGCAGAGCATTAAGTTAACCCTTTTAGCTTTCATACTTCTGTACTAGCTAATTGTAATCATCGATAACTTTTTCCTCATTTTTCTTAATTTTATTGAACTACTCTTAAAGATCTTGCAACTTTTTCCTTAATTCATCTTATTCTAGTAATGTCTTTTACAGCAATTATTTCTCTTCATCATAAAGATCTTTAAAAACATTTAACTCAGATATCTCTTTCTCATGTTTATCTTTTATTGATTTCAATTCCAAATTTAGCAGCTATTTCTCCTTTTCCAAAATATTTACCTATTCATTCAATTTTTTTAAGTTAAATTCACTAGTTTCATCGATTTTATGAAGCTATGCCATTGATTATTTTTGTGACTTATAAAGTATATCGTGAGATGAACATGTACTGTCGCTATAAGCTAAAGAAACAGTAGATGGTCCTCCTGAAGCAAGCTATTATTGATTTAAATTATGTCCAGTTGACATCTAATTTTAGAAGAATCCTTGAACCTTCTTGATTGCAGTATTTCTTTTAAATTAATTTATTTTGGCATTATTTGGGAAACTGTGTTAAGTACTTTATAGCTATTAAATTGGCTACAATGCTTGTTACTTTAATTATTCTTGAATTTATTAGTACTATTGGTTAAGAATTTCAATCTATTACTTCAGCAGGTCATTTTATTTACTTACTTCAACATACTGAACAATGTACTTTTAATTGAGATCTTTTATTTCTTTTAAAATGAGTTAATCACTGCACTCTGGTTCCATTTCTTCTTGAGATTCTTATCTGAAAATTGACTCAATTTAGTGAAATGCTGTTTTAAACTACTATGACTTCAGTTTTTCATTGTTTAAATCAACCTACAGCTAGGATATCTACTTTTCAAGATTCACTAATTTACTCGCTTGCTATTTTTAATCTTCTCTTCGATCTCTTGGTGAACCAGTAATGAGTAGTTAGATACTTTAATCATGTTCAAGGACAGATTTCATTATATCTTTATCAAGGATGGAAGAAAATCGGGATTAATAGATATTTGCCTTATTTAACTTTGATCTCATTTAATCCATCTCTTCTCTAATTCTTTCGATTATCTTTGCACTACTACACTCGTACCTTTATTATGGGCAGAAGACTTAATAAAGATTTCTTAGACTCTTTTCAATAGATTGTAATTCTTAGTCATTCTATTTGTTATGATCTAATTTAGATGGATTTCCTGTCTAAAGTTTTTCTTTATCTTTAATCAACTGCTCAATCATTTCAGCCTGAGTCTTACATCTCATCATCATATGCTCTGGTGAAAGACCATTAAAGCTATTGCCTAAATTCTGATGATGCTAACTTAAACTAATTTAGCTTGTATTAACGACATTGATGTTATTGTTATTATAGCTTGAAACCCCAATAATCTGCTCATTTGAGAGATACTGATCCTAAGTGTCACAAGACCCACGATGACTGTTCAGCATGATTGTACTAATGGAGGTTCTCTTCAGTGGCATATCGATACATTTAGAGGCATGCTAAACTGAACCTCTCGCAGTTGAAATCGCTCTTTAAGCCATTTGAGTAAGCACAATTTTATTTTATGGAGTTGAAGGTTGATTAGGACTCATGTATAAATTATGAGTAGTTTTATGTTGGTGTAGTTGATTTATACTAAGACTAGATTCCTCCTGTTCTCTTGAGTGTTCTCGTTATTATTGCAAAAGCTGAAGTTTTTTAACCTAGCTCATGAGTTTGTCTACTTCATCTTCCCTGCTTCTTAGATTAGCTTATAACTCACTCACTCGCTTAGTTTAAAGATCATACTTATACTATATACTCTCAAGCTAATGAATCTTTTAAATTTGCTTTTCCATTGAACTGATTAAAACATCCTAACCGTTAAGTGATTAGTCAAATTATATATAATTACCTTTTCAGCTACTTGCGCTTTGAGTTTGTGAATCTCCTCATATGCCTCTTAGCTTGCTAGAAAATTTGTTTTATCATTTTCATTGAAAGTCACTTGCTCATCCAAACCACTTTCAGACCCATGGCATGATGATCTGAATAGTTTTTGATTGAAATCATTGCATGTTAGCAAGTATTCTAACTGCATTAGCAGTGTTTCGGTTAACTCTTTAAATGTCTAGACAATTAAATATATATTCAGCTAGAAATTACCCTTAATTTGTGAGAGGTATGTGGAAAATCAGGTGGGAGACGTTTGTCATATTTCAACTGCAAGTTCATAGAACTTTAAAGCATCATGCCAAAACTCAGATTTTAACTAAACATTCGCAAATTTATAAATAAAAATGTATTGTTATAATTTAAAATTTTAATTTTTACTGATGTTTATTAACTCTCTATTAGTACTTGTGGGGTTTTGGGGTTTTGGGGTTTTGGGGTTTTGGGGTTTTGGGG